ACTTATTGAGGGAGCACTTGATCCCCTCATCAGATCACTGATAAAGATATCAAACAGAACAGGTACCAATGCTGAGCCCTGGGGAACACCACTTGTGACTGGCCGCCAATTGGATTTAACTCCATTCACCACACCCTGTGGGCTCAACTGTCCAGCCAGTTTTTTACCCAGCTAAGAGCATAATTACATGTGATCAGTTAGATGTCTCTGAACCAAAGGCTGGAGATACGCACAGTGAAGTACCAGGTTTGAGCTAAAAACCCCAAACGGGATAATACTCCAAGGTCCATGCATAGGAACACATTCATATTGTTTCCAGTCTGCTGCGAATGAGAGCACAACACTGTGTTCGCACCTAGTTCTGTCATGCAGTGCCACAAAGTGAATATAAGCTTTACATCTGCCTATTGGTCCCCTTTTCTGTGTATATCTTGAAAAAGGAAATGCAAGCACTTTTATAGGATTATGCTGCTTTATCAGATGACACCGAAAATGAATGAGGTGGGAGTAGGGTAGAGCTTATTAACAGCAAGAGTTCAGGCTCCCCAGTCACAGAGTCCATGCTTGGAAAGTTTCTCTCACTGAGGAGAGATCATAGAATCACAGAAGGGTTTGGCTTGAAAGGAACCTTAAAGATCATCTAGTTCCACCTGCCTATGGTAGGCCATAAGCAGGGACATCTTCCATTAGACCAGGTTGCTCAAAGCCCTGGCCAACCTGGCCTTGAACACTTCCAGGGAGATGTGGGACCATCCACATCTTCCCTGGGAAACCTGTTCCAGTGCCTCACCACCCTCACAGTAAAGAATTTCTTCCTTATATCTAAACTAATTCTACCATCTTTCAGTTTAAAACCATTACCTGTCATTCTACCACTACGTTCCCTGGTAAAGAGTCCTGCCCCATCTTTTCCTGTAGGCTCCCTTTAAGTACTGGGAGTCTGCTATAAGGTGTCCCCAGATCCTTCTAGTTGTTTTGGGGAGACTTCTAATCTTGACTGAAACTTCCAGGGCAAGTTTCACTGTAAATTATTCTCATAGTTTACCACCTTCCTGTTAAAATGTTGTGTCTATCTTCAATCCAGTTTTTCCTTTTAGTTATTTGAGCTTGTAGAAATTCAGACTGTCTATATATTGCCACATGTCTGTTTTCTTCTTTACTCCATGGATGTGAACATAATTTTTGAAGCTTCTCTTTGGCAGACACACATAGAGTTCCCTGAACTGTGCACACTGAAGCATGTTAAAACCTGATGGCATCTGAACTGACCACTATGCCACTCAGAAGAGAAATCTTAGGGTTTACCAAAAATAGTGTCATAAAAAATATCAACTCCACACTCAGAGACAGTCAAAAAAAATAAAACAGCTGTTAGGAATTTTTAGGAAAGAAATACATAACAAAAGGGAAAATATCCTGTTGCTGCTGTGTAAGTCAGATGAGTAGGTAGGGGCTATTCTTCAACATGGCAAAGAGACACTTTAAGGGGGACGGGTTGGAAGTCTCCAAAATCTTTATCAATGTAGGGCTTGGTTCTGGGGCCGGTCTTGTTCAATATCTTTATCAATGAACTGGATGAGGGGATCGAGTGCTCCCTCAGTAAGTTTACAGATGACACCACGTTGGGGGGGAGTGTTGATCTGCTGGAGGGTAGGAGGGCTCTGCAGAGAGATCTGGACAGGCTGGATCGATGGGCAGAGGTCAACTGTAGGAGGTTTAATAAGGCCAAGTGCCGGGTCCTGCACTTGGGTCACAACAACCCCATGCAACGCTACAGGCTTGGGAAGGAGTGGCTGGAGAGCTGCCCGGCAGAAAAGGCCATGGGGGTGTTGGCTGGCAGCCGGCTGAACGTGATCCAGCAGTGTGCGCAGGTGGCCAAGAAGGCCAACAGCATCCTGGCCTGAATCAGGAATAGTGTGGTCAGCAGGAGTAGGGAAGTGATCGTGCCCCTGTACTCGGCACTGGTGAGG